CCATGCGCCTCTCGCATCAACCTCTCCAGCGGTTCAAATCATCCCCGCCAAGTCTGACTCGCTTTCTCATTTGTATAACAGGGGAGATAAGGGGAGCTGCTATCTTGCATCGTTTTTGTGGCAGGCGAGGAGCAAAGAAACGTGGAGGGTGCCGACTCTTTGAAAGCCCGGTCGTTTTCATGCCCGTTGTGGGCGCCTCAGACATGCAATGACTTTGTTACGTTGGTGGAGCCTCGCTTGCTAGCGACTCGTCGGATTCAACCCCCTTCTGGCGGAAGGAGGGGACGGGAAGGTGAACCGCCCAGAGGCCAAGCTCGCATTGGTCCACTCCAATGCGTTCCGGCAACGCCAGAAGGGGTAACTCCAAAGATCTTGCGCTTGGCAGCTGAGTGTGTTCCCTGGCACCGCAACTCGCCCTTGCAGTCCTGGTCATTTTGTGGTGAATTCGGCAAGTTCGGCAAATAAATTCCCCCCCTTCTCCACCTGCGTTCAAGCCAAGCACGGACGTGCAGTCTGCCACTTAGAGCCCACTTACGGCCACTCAAACCGTCCCTCGCGTGTTCTTCTGCAATAATTCACAGGCCTACTGAGAAACGAGACTTGGATCACTTACTTGAATAGGGTTGCAACGGGGCTGAAGGGCAGAACGGCAGGGGGAGGGGGGCGGCGGGGGGTCGCGAGTGGTGCATGAAGAGCTAAAGCCAAGTGGCAGTCCGGGCGAAATCTTCCACAGAGGCAAATGGAGTCGCCAAATGGTACAAGGCCACACACCGCGAGTTCGAACGCGACGCGCACCACCGCGATCACGCTTCGCCGCGCACGTCCTCGATCACCCGTCCATCTTGACGTCCCCCGTTCGAAACGCATCTCCTTCGCCGCGCCCTTCTGGGCGGCATCAAGCGACTTTCTGGTTGGCCATGAGCAAAAGGAAATCAGGCATTTTTAATTGAAAAGTTTTCGAATGCATTGCCTCCTGAGAGATTTGAACTCTCGACCTTCTGCTTACTAGGCAGACGCTCTGCCCCTGAGCCAAGGAGGCTTTGTCATTGAATTCTAAAAAGCATTTTATTGAATGAACCACCTGAACTTTAGTCAACGTCACATGGATTTCAGCGAGGAGGTAAGCTATTTTTTTTGTGGGGGGAGGGGAAGAAGCTTCCAACTGGACCCTAAGCCCCTCGGCCTTCTTCCCCACAGTCCCACGCCTCCGGGACCGCGATGCCATACAGTCCCGAAAAATCGCATGCTTCAAGGGACGCCTAGCTCCCAGGCGGGGGAAGGGGAGGGTGGTTTACATGGATTTGGTTCAATATTTGCAATGCAGTCAGCCAGCTTAGAGTCAACCCGGGCGATAGGGGAAGTGGAGAAGTGAAGTCATATGATAGATAAATCGAAGAACGACAGTCAGAGCAGCCTAGCGCCTCCCCCGTATAAAGTAAAGATCACGTTGAGAGTGCGCGCGCGTGAAATTCGAGATGGCCGTCGATGAAGGTCTGGATAAAAAAGTAGCTGTGATCGTATCCGTCCTGAAAGCCGAAGAATTCAGTAAGAATCGCTACACTCTAACGCCCATTCCTTGCTCCATGATATCGTCACGAATACCGACCTGAATGCGGAGCTGCAAATTCAAACGGTCATTTCCAGCCACGGCGGTCTCGAGCGCCTCCGGAAGAAGCTGCTTCTGATGCAAAAAGCTATCTTCGGACCCTTGATCGACGAGAATTGAGATAGGAGGTCCTTCATACTTCGCAGCGAGCTCGCTAGGGTCCCAATCCTTCCACGCCGCCTTATTATCGCCGAGGTACCCCGTAAAAGCTTTCACTCCCCACGGGCATTGAATCGGGTTCGCTGTGAGAAAACAGGGAGGGGGAGAGTGATGAAAAACGGTAGAAAAAATTGTACGTGAGTCGGATATGACGCTATTGAAATCCCAGGATAAGGGGCTAAGTAGTACCGAAGTTTGTAATTCAGCGTGACTTACAAATCGGCGCGAATGCAGAAATCGATCGAAACATTCCGGGGTTGCGAAGAGCGCAGACGAGGCTCCCGAGTCCACCCATTGAGTGACCCGAGATGGACGCGCGTGCGGGGTCGACAGGGAAGTGCGTGCGAACGAGCTCCGGAAGCTCCTTCGTGATGTACGAGAACCTGCAGGTTTACAATGAAATCGTCACTAAATGCGATTGAAACGACATTGCAACCGTTCCACCAACCCGCATTACACTAGCATCATACATTCGGTAGCGTTTCCACTTCTCAGCAGTCGCATCGAGGTAGAACCCGGCACCAGTCCCAAAATCCCACGATTCATCCTCGCCTTCGATTCCCAGCCCTCTTGGAGAGGTGTCGGGGCACACGAGAAGCAAGCCGAGCTCGGCCGCCTTCTTCAGCGCGCCGGCCTTCTGGATGAAATTGTCCTGCGAGAGAGAATTACGAACCGATAACTTTAGAGAGAACGCTGGGCTCGCATGGTAGGGGTGGAAAAGCTGACAAGCGCACCTCGGTGCAAGTCAGGCCCGAAAGCCAGAACAGGACGGGACGGGGACCTGGAGCGGGCGGGAGAAAGGCGGAGAATTGCATCGCACAGCCCAGGACGTCGGAGTTATGGCGGTATTTGACAACGCTCCCGCCGTGCGACTTAGAGCGCGAGAGCTCGGTGAATTCCGCCATCTGTTTTTTCGCGATCGAGAACAGGATCGGTGTGGCAGATCTTGAGAGCTGGCCAATTTAATTGTGTCTGGCCTGATTCATGCACAGCTATGCGCGTCTCTCTTGGGGCAGGACTTCGCCCCATCCGCAGCGGGTATCTTTGGGGACAAGCCAACCGCCTTACATGACGACAAATTGTACTTACACCCAGTGTTGCGGGAGGGATGAACTGGGAACAGGTTGTGAAAGGACAGCGGAGCGATCACTTTCCCTTGGTTGGCCTGTATTTCCTTTAATTATGTCTGCCCAGCTTGCGGCGAGCGTTTCCTGGGGGCCCAGGGGGCAAGGAGAACCCGGAACCTTCCTCCTCTCGTTTCTCCAAACAATCCAGGACACCATGCAATCGGGTTTGCGTTACTCGGCCAGAAAAGTGATCGAGTCGCTGGTTGCAAAAGAGTGGTCCCCGCTCCGTTTGAAATTCTCGACGGCGGAGCCGAAAGAGACTGGACCAGGTTAGTTATCAGAAGGGATGGGTCCACAGAGACTAAATGAGGATATCGTCCCGGGTTTGCTGTGAGAGGGAGTAGTATTCTGTACATGGTGTCCACAATGCGAAGTCAAATTATACAGGAGCCCAGGACCTTTGCAAGCTTATACAGGTCCACCATGCTAGCAGATCTTTGGTACACGTGGCCGCAAAGGTGGAGACCCGGCCGACGACGAAGCGGAAGGAGTGCTCATGAACGTTTTTTTGATGTCTTGAACCATTCCCCTGAGAGTGGACTGCTCCCGAAATGGTAAGAGGCGGTGTTCGAGTGAAGTGGAGGGGAGGTCGAAAATCCGAACGCTGCGTTGGACTCGCGCTTGTCCTCTCGCAAGTGCCCTCGCACATGCGTGGCCAGAACGTCGAGCTGCGGGGACGGCCCACTCCCGCCCTATCTCATGGACGAATTATGCCAATACCTTTTCTACCTTCCAGCCAGCGCTCACGCGATTGTAGGGGAATATTCTTCGGAAGTTTCCTATCCTTGCGTCCGCTGGAGGCGGGCAGAAGCCGGGCAAAAGTGAGGGAGAGCCTTTGGTATCTGTGAAGTTGAATGGTTACTGGCGTTGTAACAATTGTTGCGAAGGGGCAAGTGAAGTGGCATCGACATCTTGGCAGCGACGGGGGAGGGTGAAGGGATGGGGCATTGAAAAGTAACGCTTACATTGCACCGCCTGGGTTGCCGCATATGCTTCGGCCTGGGCGGCATGCTCCTGGGTTATTCCTGCCACGGCAACGACATCCTCAATGAGAGGCTTAGGGAAAATGAACCGTGTCAGCGCAAAGTCAAGTCCAGAAAACTGCAATTGGTGAAGTGCATTGCTGATGTCCACTTACTCGTTTGATCACCATGTCGACATCAGACTCAACGGACAGCGCGGGACTCAGGTTCACCTCTATTGATCGAGTTTCATTATGCGACTTAAAAAGATCAGATACCGCACACCTGCTATCCCTCATCGAATCCATGCATCATACCCAGTAACCACGGCCTCATCGATTCGTCGATGATGATATCTGTAAAGTACAGTTGTGTTGGTAAAAAAACTCACGGTGCAAAGGAACTCCAAGGGGATGGAAGAATGACAACCCGATTCACATCCTACCGAATCCATAAAGCTCAAAGCACCCCCCAGGCGTTTTCGGCACCTCAGGCGACACAGGCAACAATGTTAACAGGATGATACCCTGCATGCTGAGACGTTTTCCGCGAGAGAAATCATTAGCAACCACGAGCGACAGGAATACTATCGTTCGGAAATGTCGCCGCAGCCTCACCGTCGCCAGAGTCTGTCGAAATCCAATTCTCGGTCCTCGAAATAGGCGCGCAGGCGACGAAAAGTCCATCTGCATCCGGGCCCGATCTCGTCTTTGTTGTGATCCAAGGTCGGGCTGAGCTTGTTAATGGATGTGTTAGTGAGGTGCGAGAATACGTTCCCGAGGGCAGTCGTGTCGTAGGAGCTCTTCATTGTTGGAATTGTTCGAAGAATATTAGGTGGACGAAATGCAAGGTCCGCGAAGAGATCCTGCGCTGATAAAAATGCCCCTAACCGTTGCAAAACGTGCGAGACCCTCGTCGTAGAGATAAACGATGAGTGGGTTGTATGACTTGACGACCACGTAACTATTCACAAGGGAGCCAACGTTAAATCAAACTTCGGGCTGCGTGGCGTCCCTAGAATCAATTGAAATGCTCACCATCGCATGTCGAACTTATACCCCGAAATCAACCATGGTCGGGGGATGTACCGCTGGACAATGGCGCTGAGAAGGCGAAGTTCCTTAAGTTTTTCCGACATCGTACTTGAGAATTTCAAAGGATGATTCAAAACCTACTGGCAGTCGTATGTGAGGTCGCAGAGGTTTCGGAACACAAATATTCCTCGACCGCGACTCGAGTCGGCCGGTTTGCAAATCCACATGGTCTTTGAGCGCGAGCAGGATGGGGGTCGAAATACAAATGAAGCGTTGAAAGCGATTACCCGGGCAACGATGACGACCAAATTTCCGTCTCTAGCACCTTCGTACGAAAAGGCGTACAGGAAACTTTTCCGCCGGACAAAGCTCTCTGTCCCTCACCTGCAAGCCTTTCTCATCCTCCTCAGAGTAGACGCGCACGAACTTGAGATACTCATTTGGAAGCGAGAATCCTTGCGGGAAGAAATCGTACGCGGCGCCATGGATCCCTTTCATCGTTCGCAGAAGCCGGAATAACGTATCCTTCCGAAAGCCCACGAAGGATAAGAATTCTGCCCAAATCAGGTGGGCAAACACCAGGAAGCTTCCATAAAGTCCCTACTTCCAACGTTCAGAAATTGACTCACCTTCCGCGTGATGACCGCCGTTTTCGGAAAGTGATTGAGCCGCTGCCAAGGTCTGCAGTTTTCGTATTCGGAATTTCTGTAGCGGGAGCCTGAGGGAAAAAAATATCACATCAGATAGAGCTGGAGATATGGAAGGCTAGACCGCAGAGGAGTTTCACAACGTTTGAAAGAAAGAACCGCGGGCATGATCGATATCAAAGAATTCCCGCGATGAACTAGAGGTAAGGGTACCTTTCCACCAAAGATTCCAATAAGGACTCGATCCTTCCACGTAGGGTTGCCATCCTTTGCTTTCGAGGACATCGCGCACCAGCGAGGGGCCATCGCCCATTCGATAGTACAGAACAGCAGGGGGTGCTTGATTGTCCGTTGATTGGTCCGATGTGCACTTCATGATTCGGAAATAACTTGGAAAGGGGAGAGGACAAGTCTATTGCAAGGATTCACGAGGTAGGTGGTTGAAAACGTGGAATCAAGAGACGGGGGAGAGGTCGGATGGAAGGCATATGTCGTATAGCGAAT